TATCTATCTATCTATCTATCTATCTATCTATCTATCTATCTATCTATCTGTTTGTTTCTAATAATTTAACTTTGTATGCATTGGTGTAAGGATGTCAGATTGATTGAATTGGTGTTTCAGACAGCTATGAGCTGTCATGTGGGTGCTAGGTATTGAACCTGGGTCCTCTGGAAGATCAGACAGTGTTCTTAACCACTGAACCATAGCTCCAGCCCCCTATGTTGCCTCTCTGTGATCAACATTTATATTGATCATATTTTCATCTGTCTTTTTCTAATTGTTCAAACATGTTTCATTTTAGCAAGATCGAATGAATGTTACAGTTTCAAATGAGGCACTTCAGATTTCTAGACATCTATACAAAACTGGAGAGAATGTATAACTCTTCGTAAAAGCTTGAGAAAGATCTCTGAGTTCTTTCTCTCTTTTTTGTTTGATTGATTAAATTTTGCAGAATATTCAGCTTCTTATTATATACCCTTAACTGTCCTGGAACTTATTTCTTAGACCAGTCTAGCATGCAGCTCTATGTGATACACCTGTGACAGTCTCTTGAGTGTTTCAGGAATAAAAGGCATGAGAAAATACACCCAGCTTACCCATTGTTATTATAGTTAGGAATTGTTCATACCATGTCTCTGATGTAAGCTCAGTACTGTTTATCTCTTTAACCTCTCTCTCTCTCTCTCTCTCTCTCTCTCTCTTCATGTCTGTTAATTGGCATTTCTCCTGCAAGGTTATATCCTACTTAAGGGATGCAGAAATTAGAGAGTTAAACCCCACTTTTTAGTTTCCTTCTAAAAGGATTTGGAATACATTAACACTTGTGTGTCAGAAAATAAGTGGAAAAAACAGAGGTATGTGAATATATTGTAATGAAGTATACATTTTAGTGATATCAGTTTAATCAGTTTAATATACAGTTTAGTGATATCAGTGATATCAGCTTTCTGTTGTGCACTTGTGTCACTATTTTAGACTGCTTTGACATACAATGATATGCATGTGAACTTTACTCAAGAATAGTGGGCTTTGCTGGATCCTTCCCAGAGGAATCTCTACAAAGATGTGATGCTGGAGACCTACAGGAACCTCACTGCTATAGGTATGGCAGTGAATTTTCTTTACTTTTTAAAATATGGGGGAAACTCTTTATTCATTATTGATGCACTTCTGTAATTTCACTTAAGGATGAGGAAGAATGAGGTAAATGGTTCTTTGACCATAGATCACAGCCTAAATTTTGCCTTATTTCCAATAATAAATCATACTTTTTCTGATACTGTGTTTTAGGCTACAGTTGGGAAGATCATAATATTGAAGACACTGTCAAAGTTCTAGAAGACATACAAGGTAATTTTTATGTGTAAGTTGATTTGGATATGGTATTGAGAAAATTTTAATATGTCCCAGAAATTTGAAAGAAAAAGAATAGTGCAAATGAACTGCTTTAAGTGTATATATTGATGATTACTAACTTGTTACCAAACTAAGTACCTTCAGGTTAGGTATCTGATGCGTGTTTGCAAGGCACTTCTCTAAGAAATAATGCAAGGAAACCATACCTTACCCAAGAACACCATTTAAATCATACCCAGCATTAGAGCTAAGTAATAGAACTGCAGTTTGTTTAGTCTCTTACAACTCAGTTATTGCAAAAGGTTTTCACAGTAAATAGGTGATTAAAGTATGTTCAAAACATTATACTAAGCAAATAGTCCATACTAAAGCTAGTGTTACTCATATACTTGTAGTAATATTGCTAAGTTTTTTGGTAAGGGCAATTTTATAGAATCAAGAATGTTGTGGAAAAAACATAATCCCTAAGGCACATGTCTATGATGAACAAAAATCAAATGTGTGAATGCAACGTGAAACCGTGTCATTTATTTTTCTTCTTTTAATAGGTCTATTATATATAACATTGAATACAAGTCATGTTAGCATGTGGCTATTGAAAGAAGCAATGTACCTCCCAGAACAACTAAAAGATATAATAGTCCCCATTTTAATATTTTTAAACGGTCATACCTGTTATGCGTTATATGAGATATTCATACCTGCCAGCAGTACAAATAATTACACAGAGGCATTTCAATATTGTAAAACTTAGTAAATTTGGTTGTGCATATCACAAAACCTCTATCTCCCTTATCAAAATTAAACCTAGCATGGTGTCCTGCTGCAAGGCCAACTCTACCTCTTTGTTTCAGTTCATGTCCATGTTAACCTCAGTGACTTAGCTCTCTCTACTGGCTCAGCAATCATCATTCACATATACTGACACACTTACACACAATATACCCCAACATCAATTAATTGGTTATTCAACCTCATTAGGAATACTCACATACTTATACTGCAGAAAATACAAGTTTTAAGAATGTGGAAATTCTTCTCTTTATCCAAGTTATCTTTGCAAATTTAGCACAGCACATAGTATAGGTAAATTATGAAGCCAGTCAGTGTGTTTAAGCTCTGAGATCTTGCAGTTTTCTATAAATATGTGGTAAAACATCTACTAGAAGATAAATATATTATAAATGTGAGCCAGGCAGCAAATATTTTTACAGGTATTTGCAAATATGCCAAACAACCCATAGTGAAGGAGAACACCATGAATGTAAAAATAGTGAAACCTCAAGTTTTAATTCCTTCATACCTTTACACCAAATTGAAAAATTAATTGACATGGAGAAAAAGATTGATCTGTGTAATAAGTGTGGTAAAGCTTTCTTATATGCCAATTATTTTTGCAGGTATGAAAACAGTCATAGTGGAGAGAAACCCTCTGAAGATATTCAATGTGCCTCTGCACATCACAGTAATCCCCATACATATAAAAGAATGTATACTGGTGAGGAGCTCTATGAATGTAACCAATATGGTAAACACTGTGCATATAATAGTGATCTTCAAAAGTATGAAAGAATTCATGTTGGACAGAAACCCCACAAATATAATCAATGTGATAAAGCCTTTACAAACAAGAGTTGGCTCCTAAAACATAAAAGAACCCATACTGGAGGGAAATCTCATAAATGTACCCATTGTGGTAAAGCCTTTGCACGTTACAGTACTCTGCTGATACATAAAAGAATTCACACTAGAGAAAAACCTTATGAATGTAACCTATGTGGTAAAGCCTTTGTGTGTAACAGTCATCTCCTAAAACATAAAAGGACACATACTGGAGAGAAACCTCATGAATGTAACCATTGTGGTAAAGCCTATGCAAATAATTGTACTCTAATACTACATAAACGAACACATACTGGAGAGAAACCTTATGAATGTTACGAATGTGGTAAAGCCTTTGCAATTAACAGTGCTCTCCTAATACATAAAAGGATGCACACTGGGGAGAAACCTTATGAATGTAACCTATGTGGTAAAGTCTTCGTGTGTAGCAGTCATCTTCTAATACATAAAAGGACTCACACTGAAGAGAAACCTTATCTATGTAACCAATGCGGTAAAGCCTTTGCACATAAGAGTAGTTTCCTAACACATAAAGGAACACACACTGGAGAGAAACCTTATCAATGCAACCAATGTGGTAAAGCCTTTGTATGTTACAGTCATCTCCTAATATGTAAAAGAACTCATACTGGGGAGAAGCCTTATGAATGTAACCAATGTGGTAAACACTTTGCGGATAAGAGTTCTCAGACATAATAGAATTCACACTGGTGAGAAACCTTATGAATGTAACCAATGTGGTAAAGCCTTTACACGTAACAGTGCTCTCCTCATACATAAAAGGACTCACACTGGAGAGAAACCTTATGAATGTAAACAATATGGTAAAGCCTTTGCACAGAACAGTCATCTGGTAGTACATAAAAGAACTCACACAAGAGAGAAATCTTATGAATGTATCCAACGTGATAGTCTATGCATTTCAGAGTAGTCTCTGAAGACATAAAAAAACACACCCTGGAGAAAAAAAAAAAACTCATGAATGTAATCAGTGTGGCATTACCTTTCTACAACACAGTCATGTCCTAATAGATAAAAATACATATTGCAAAAAAATCCTTATGAATATAACCAATGTCATAAAGACTTTTCATGTAACAGTCATCTAGGACAAGAACACATAGTGGAGTGAATCCCTATGAATGTAACAAGTATCACAAAGCCTTTGCATGCCATAATCTCCAAATACCTAAAAGAGACACGTTATGAATTTAACCAATGTGATAAAGCCTTTTCATGTAATAGCAATCTTCTAAGACATAAAGGACACATACTGGAGAGAAACCTTATGAATGTAACCAATGTGGTAAAACTTTTGCTCTTCAGAATCATCTTCAAAGTCAAGAAAGAATTCATACTGGACAGAAAGACAATGAGTGTGTTTAGCATGGTGAAGCTCCTCCACATTTGTATAGTTATCATCATGAAAGAATTTATACAGAAGAGAAACTTTATGAATTTTATGAAACTTTATGAAAATGTGAGGCCTTTGCACATATTTATACTCTTCCTCATCGTAAAAATTTCATACTGTAGGTAAATTCTGAGAATATAAACAATATGGAAAGGCCTTTGTGTTCTTTGGTCCACTAAATCAAATAAAACTCAAACAGTAAGTCAATGCAAATGACAAAAATTTACTGTCATCCTGGCACTATTGGTTGATGAGGGCCACATAATATTCTTGCGAACTAAACTGTGATTCCTATCCACCCAGTCATCCAGAAAGTTACAGAGGTTCTGAGCCTGAAAATTGTAAACATCTTTGCTGTTTTACAACTATATTTTGTAATCAATCAGGGTTTAAGAATATAGGATTGGTTTATGTCATTGAGGAACTCACCTGATACAAAATGTAGGTTTTACAGTTGAAACAGTCATATCCATTTGTTCTTTTGTGGTCAGGAAAAGGTATTATGTTTTAGGGGAGAAAAGCTCTGGTTTGGGACAGTCATTATGTTAGAGTAACAGACGCCATGGTATGGAACAGTCATGTTTTGGGAAACAAAAGATGAATAATGAATGCTGGTCTGCTTTTGGGAAGTTTGCAGCTTTCCTAGGGACTATGAACTTAAACTTAGGTTCACCCTATAATTTCTTGGAGGCTCATATCTAAAAGGCAATACTTAAGACAAATTTATTTTGCATGTTCCTACATGCAAATTACTTTGCATATTGCATATCATAGTCATCTTCAAATATATAAAACAAGAGATAGTAGAAAGAAACCTTACACCTATAATCAATGTGATAAAGCCTTTTCTTAACATAGTTATCTCCAGATACATAAAAGGACACATGCAGCAGTGAAACCCAATTAATAAACAATGTGCTAAATCTTTTTCATGTTGTTGTCTTTCAAATCTTGAGAAAAAGCCATGCTGCAGAGAAACCCCATGAATGCAGTCAGTATGATAGTTTTCCTCTTCGTGGTACCATTATAGAAGAGTGAAAGCTGTAGTGTGTGAGCAACCTGTTAATGCCTTTGCATATGACAGTAGTCTTTGAGAACCTAAAAGAACTCATTCTGAAAAAAAAAAAAACCACTTAGGATAAAAGATTTGTTAAGATCTTTGACCTACCAACTTGCATTCAGTTACACGAGATTATTTGGGAGGAAAATTCTATCAAGTGTCAACAATGTATTCATGCATTATGACATCAATCCTTATTTTTCCAATTGAAAGCTTATATGGACAAAAGGCCTATGCATTTAAACCATAATTTAAACCTTTTAGATTTCAAAATTCTCTTCAATTACATGAAATAAATTATCCAGTTGTACTGTTTATGGATGTGTATTAGTGCCTTTTCTGTGACATATCACAGAATATCTGTGTCAACTTCCAAATGTGTTTGCTTTGCCTTCTGGTTCTAGAGGGATATGGGATCTCTATGAAATGGGCATCACAAGTGTCATACATGGTGGCTAAAGTAGGAAGGTTGGAGTTTACATCTTCAACCTGCATCATGAAACAGAGAGTGGGAATTACAGATGGTATGCAGTTGAAACTATCAAGCCCAACCCAAGTAACATACTTCCTCCAATAGTACTGCATTTCCTAAAGATTTCCAAATGACATCACCAACTGAGGATTCATTTCTCTGACTTCAAACCTACATGTTTGATTTCTTTAAATTAAGGAATTCATGATGAAGAAAAAAAATCTGTAGATAAGCCTGTAGATGCCTCAACACATGAGTTATAGGAATGAATACTCATACAAGTAAAACATTCATGAGTAAACATATAGTAGTTTAAGATTTTTTTAAAATTTCCATTATGTGATATCAGTGTGTCTTTGTGTGTTTATGTGCCTGTCCATTCTGGTTTCCATGAAGAACATACCTTTTGATCTTCTCATAACAGGAATTATAGAAAGGTGTCAAAAACCTGACATAGGTCCTGGGAATAAACTTGAATTAACTGCAAAGCTATTTCTCTAGTACTGTAAATATCTTAAATCTTTATATATCATTTTGATGTCAAGATGTTGAAAATAATTCATAAAAGAGAGCAATCCTATTTATACAAAAGAGTTGATTACTTTTGACATAATAAATATTTTCATTTTCGAGAAAAGAAACTTTTGAATCTGCTTTTATCATAGCCTTGGAAGAAGTAAATTATTTACCATGTTCACTTAAATGTATTGGAGATCACCAATGGTTGTCATGGTCAATAGTTTGAAACATTGGAGTAGGTGTTGAAATTTGCAGTATGTGTAGCAAATCCATTCACAAATGTTTATAAGGTTGTTCTGATATTCTTTCTGTGGCTGCTCATATTCTATTGCATTTGCACTTGGTGATAGGTATTATTCTGCTGCAGTGTATAGAATGGTATCCCCATCATCTATGTGGTCAATTGCTTATTTATATCAGGCAGTGTGTGGTAACAGTTTTCAAGGAAGGGCCTTTGAGAAGTTGTGGTACTTTTATATGTTTTCACAAATTCCTTTAATACGTTTATTTTTAAGCCTTGTTTGGATGTCAATAATTAATTAATATTATAATGTTTAATAGTATATATATATATATATTGTTTGAAGTTCCATGGTTGTACATGTTCCCATATTTACTATATGGCATATCATCTTGAAGTACTGCCTTCTTAGAGAATTATTTAGAGGTGCTAGATAATGTAACAGCTACAAGATTTATTTAAAAAAACATGTGTGTTTGTAATGGACTATTTGTTCTTAGGGTATGACAGATATATGAAGATTGTGTGACATTTTATGGGGTTTATTTTGATCATGGTTATATGATCATCAAATTTATGTTGTCAGTTTTGCATACCAGAAACACTCTCCGCTCAGCTCATTGATACTCAAATAATCTTAGTTGAAATATTAAATCAGTACAATTTAATTGTCAGTACAATTGTCTTCTGTTCAGATTATGTCATCTGAGGATGTAAGAATATGAAATGATTTGAATAATAAATGCTACTTGCAAATGAACATTATATATCCCCATCTTGTTTTGGAATATGTTAGTTCTTTCTTAGGAGCAAAGACTTGTTCATAAGACTTTCTGGGAATTACAAGTGAATGTCAGAGAATTGTCTCCGTGGCTAAATTTGGTTATTGCTAAACCTGATGATTTGAGCTCAATCTCATAGTAGTCCATATCACTCCTACAGATTTTTCTAGTATTTATATAGTTGGGCTGCTATATATGCAAACTCACACACCAGCAGATAACAATAATTTTTCAACCTAAATAAGGGCCAGTGTGGTCACTGGCCTAAAGACTTTTTGATCTTCTGTTAGGTTTGTCTCATACCTACCAGTTACAATGTAGCTGAAGTTTACCTAAACCCAAAGTGAAGTAAAAAACCAAAAATCTTGTTTCCTAAACTGTCTCAGTAATTGTGGGATAGGTTGATAACTCCACTGCAAATTGAGCCTACAAGTCATCTACCTGTATTCTATAAAGAAAAATGGAAGTGCCTAGTGGCTCCTGTGAATTGATGACATCAGGATATGTGCCTACAAGGAGAGGATCGGGCAGCTGAGCAGAGAAAGCTCAGTGGTGGGTCTTCCTTAGGCTGGATGGGAAGATAGACAGGAAGGATATCAGAGGAGAGGAACAATTGTTGCTGAACTGGGAATCTCTGCATACTTGGAAAATATTGTCCCTGGATAGGAAGCCTGAAACAGGAACCAATATGCTGTGAACCTTCAGCACATTCTAACCCTAACAGAGGTACTTATGACACTCAAGATGACCTGGCCAGTCAGGGCCTCCAGGTAGATTTTTCTGTCAGGCTAGGAGGCAGGTTCTTCAGGGAGACATGCTGGAGGTTCTGCTCTGCAGCTGATCAGTCTTAAGTGATTCAGTGTGAGGTTCTCTGATCACTGCTGCTAGGTGTTTTGAGGGAATTGGGAATCTCAAGCAATTTCAGAAGTCCCTACTTGCTGAGTGGAAGGTCAATACACATAAATGGTAATAGCAGGCTGCTTAGGAGAGATAGCTGAGTTGATGTTTCCAACCTGGGGATGGGTGGGAAGACTGAAAAGGACAGACACAAGTGTTACTGAAATGCAAATCTCTGCAGGTCTGGAAAAGTGATGGCCCTGGACTAGAAACATTTTTCAGGTATATGCTGTGTCCTTCCAGCTGGCACTAACTCAGGACTCTTTGATCTATGAGGGCCTTCCACCAGAAGAGAAGGCAGGTCCTTCCAGGTGCTCCGCTCTAGGTTCACTCTTTTTTGAGCAGGCTTGAATGGATCCAGTGTGATAAGCTCTACTGCTGGATGTTCAGACAGAGGGAAGCTCAAGTAAGTTCCAAAGTCCCAAAGTGGTGAGTGGAGGGTCATTGACCACAAATGGGAGGAGCAGGCTGCTGGGCACAGCTAGCTGGAGTGGTGAGTGAGTACCCAAATGGAGGCTACAAGATTGCAAATGTCTGCAGATCTGCAAAAAGCATGATCCTGGACTGGAAGCCTAGGATTGGTAGTGTTATGCATTCTCACTTCAGCACCCTCTAACCCTAAGGAAGGGACTCATGTCACTCAAGACTTACTGGCCAAACAGGGCATGCAGGTAGAAGAGGTGTGTTCTTCCAGGAGCCAAGCTGCAGGTTCTGCTGTCTCTGAACCGGCATTTGTTCTCTGAGTGCTGCTGAGTGCTGTGAGGGGAGGTCTGGAAAGCTCTATAGCCTCATGGTGAGCCCAAGCTCTGGATCACTACTATAAGGGGAAGAGCAAGAAGCTGAGATCCAGGAGCTGGTGGGATGGGTTATTGCCAAGATTGGGTGGTAAGCAGAGGCCATATGCAGACACCTCTGAGGTCTCCTGTGGTTCTACTCATTTCCTGGATCCTGTGGTGACCTATATATAACTTCAATATGGGGGATGCATTTGGGCAAAACTC